TGCATGCATCCGAAGAAGTGAGGTTTTTACTCACGAAAGCTTATGCCCAAATAAATCTGTTAATCTTTAAGGTGCCACCAGACTCCTTGTTGTTTTTGTAGATACAGACTAACACGGCTACCCCCTGATACTCAGTAAACAGATGCTAAAGCTATAAAAGAGAAATCAGGAGTTCAGACCTTTGGCTGCGTCTTCTAGACACTAACTTGCCGCAAAATATGTAAGATTTTTTTAATTTTTATAAAAAAATCCCAACAGATAACAAAAATGTCTGCCTTGAATGTATGTAAAATCTATATTTTTAAAAGGAGGACTTTGATAGAGGAAAAAAGGTAAATTTTTGATTCGTCAGAATAAAACATACAATATTTCTTATCAAGCCTGAATCCTTAGAATCAAGTTCATGTGCTAAAAATATTTGTGAAATTTTTTAGAACTGTTACAGATGACCCCAAAACACTGATTTTCTAGCAGTATACATCATATAACACCACACTGAAAGCTTGCTTTACATCCCGACACAGTCAACAGCAACTATCCAACATAAATTGTACTGATTCTGGACCTGCATATCCAGAACAAAATAACTAACCTCTCTTTTCCTGTAGCTTGCTGGTATGCTATGAATGTCCTGCCCCTAGTCAGTAGTTAAAATGCAAATACTGATGCTATGGTACCGATGATATAATTATGATAGTTATGCAAAACATCTCTGAAAGGTGTTAAATCAGGTGTGTGGTACAACAGCACCATCTGCCAGGTCAGAGCGAAAAATACAGTAGTCACAGAGGCAACTGCCTAAATATTAAATCCACCACTTTGCTGCTGAAAAGTAAAGCCCAGGAGTGTGGTTGACTAGGTCGTAGTATGGAGTCTCTTTCTGACTTGACTTCTGGCCAGACATAAAAGGATATTCATCCAAAAACTTGATGAGAACATTAGAAGCCGAGGACTGGATTGGCACTGCTGCGGTATGTCATGTTTGATATGCACTGGAAGAAATATATAGGGAATCATACACACCTATTTGGTACTGTGTAATTCTAACCACCATAATGCAAACTATTGCACGCCACCTTTCATCGAAGGATCTCAAAATGCTTCACAAACAGCTTATAGCCTCACAAGATTCCTGTAAAAAAGAGATTACTCCCGCATCCATTTTACCCATGGGTAAATTGAGGCAAATAAAGTTTGGATGACTGGTCTCAGAGATAAGTTCTTCCACAGTAAGAAGAGAAAGGGATTTCAAAGTTGATGATGGTATTTGCCATTTTGACTAGGAATCCTCTGCTCTAATCATCAGCTCCCACTTTCTTCCAGTCAGTGCTTGAAGTATCGTTTGCATGAAACAATACACACACACATTCTGTGCAGAAAGGTAGGTCAGAGAAAGCAATTCTCTCATCACTCTAAGATGAGCAAATATCAAGCTATTTGAATTAGTGTTGAGAAAAACAGCAAATGCCATTAACTTTAAAATCTTTTTTCCTTTTCCTGCTGTGGAACAAATAGTTTCAATAATGAAAGGATTTATTCCTGCTGGATTGTTTCTATGCTGAGATAAGTGCATTATGTGTAGGGAGTTTCTGCATGTCTAAACATAGACTTTCCAAGAGCAATACCATGTTAACAATAAAGACCCTTAGGTAAAGGCACGGTCTCAATTTTCAGGGTCAGACTTGCTTACGTGCCAAAAATCTGTAAGCCACATAACTGATTACTAAGTATTACTCCATAATACTCAGGAGCCTCTGTCATGTAACAGGATCCTATTGTGCTAGGTGCTGCACAAACAGAACAAAAAGAATCTCTGCCCCAGAGAATTTAGAATCTAAGTATAACATAAACAGACAACAGGATACAGACAGAGAAGTGCAAGGAAACAATGAGACAATACTAGTCAGCATGATCAGTAGTGGCATCAGTAACTTAACCATTGTCAAGTATTTCTGGGGGAATTCTGCGCCGCAGTGCGTGTGCATATTTGGTGACTCACCCATAGTTTTAATTTTTCTTTTCTTTTCTTTTTTTTCTTTTTTTGCAGAAAATAGCTTCTTCTGAAAAGTTGCTGTAGTTCTGCCTTTTTCCCCACCAGAGGATGCTGTGGTTCCTAGAACACAGCAGCCACTCCTGGCCAGCCCCAGCTATGACAGGGAAGAAAAAGAGCCTGCCTTCTTCATAGCACCTGTTGGACCAGGTCAGGCATCAGGGGATATAGGGAGACAGATAGTGTTGAGCTGCTGGGGGGGGGTCAGACAGGGGCTCATAATGGCTAGTGGGGGAGGACAGACTGAGGCAGGGGCTGAATGGGAGTGGAAGCGCAGGGCCACAGGGGGGAGGGAGGTGCACATGGAGGTGAGGGGAGGGGGCTGGCTGAGGGGTTGCAGGGACACATGGGCAGAGCGGGAGGAGGTGCAGAGCTACAAGGAGGAATGCTGAGTGGGGGCACAGAGACACATGGGGACAGGCCATGCAGGGACACATGGAGATGAGGGTA